AGAACAAATACAATTCAATATATAAAGACTAAAAGTTGCTGAAGGAATTCAGGAAGGGGCAAGATAGATGTGAGTTAGAGAAGTTTTGTAGAGAAGGCGTCTTTGAGGATACAGAACATGAGTTGATCCTGAAAATCAGTATTATGGGTTGATTAATGTCCCCTAAAAAGATATATTCAAGTCCTAACCCCCAGTACCTGTGAATGTGGCCTTAATTAGAAATAGAGTCTTTGCAGATGTAATTAGTTAAATTAACATGAAGTCATAGCGGAGCACTGTGGGCCCTAATCTAGGATGCCTGGTGTCTGTATCAGAAGAGGAGAAGAGACACAAAGACAGAGATACACTGAGGGAAGGGGCCACATGAACATGAAGGCAGAGACTGCAACAACACGAGCTGAGGAACACCGGGACCACCACTGCAACAACACGAGCTGAGGAACACTGGGACCACCACTATAACAACACGAGCTGAGGAACACCGGGACCACCACTATAACAACACGAGCTGAGGAACACCGGGACCACCACTATAACAACACGAGCTGAGGAACACCGGGACCACCACTGTAACAACGCGAGCTGAGGAACACTGGGACCACCACTATAACAACATGAGCTGAGGAACACTGGGACCACCACTGCAACAACACGAGCTGAGGAACACCGGGACCACCACTGCAACAACGCGAGCTGAGGAACACCAGGACCACCACTATAACAACATGAGCTGAGGAACACCGGGACCACCACTGCAACAATGTGAGCTGAGGAACACCGGGACCACCACTGTAACAATGCAAGCTGAGGAACACCAGGACCACCAGAAGCTAGAAAAGACGAGGAAAGCTTTTTTCCCAGAGCCTTGTTGTCAGCATGGCCTATCCACACCCTGAATTCAGCCTTCAAGCCCCTAGAATATGAGAGAATAAATTTCTTTTATTTATTTATTTTACTGTTTAGTGTGATTTTGGTGAAAGTTTACAGAGCAAATTGATTTGTTTTGTGACACTGACTGCAATACCCAGAATGTAATAGCACTGTTTCCACTTCCTCCTTATATTTCCTGTTTCCACTTGTCCTTCTTTCTTATCCCTTCCTGGCTTCTGAGCTTTATTCCTGAGCAAATGCTGCCCTTTTGATCTCATGTGGTTGATCACTCGAAGGAGTATGTACCTCTCCCTGGTGTTATCCTTTTCCTTATAGGCCCATCATTTGGCTGAAAGTTGAGCCATGTGGGTGAGCTCAGTTCCAGGCTTGAAGTGTATCTAGAAAAACACAAAATCACTGCCAACGAGTCAATTCTGACTCATAGTGATCCCCACTGGGTTTCCAAGGCTGTAAATCTTTAGAAAAGTAGATTGCTTCTGTGGTGCAGGTAGTACACTTGAACCACCAGCCTTCTAGTTAGTAGTCAAATGCTGTAGGCACTGAACCACCAGAACTCCTCAAAGGGTGTCTAAGAGCCCATAATATAAGGGGTCCCACTGGTCTTCACCAAACCAACAAACCTGGTCTTTTTAATGATTTTGAGTTCTGTTCCACCTTTTCTCCCATTCTATCTGTGACCTACTATTATGATCCCTTTCAGAGCAGTCAGCAGGCATAGCTGGGCACCATCTAATTCTCTTCTGGTTTCAGGGTCATGGAGGCTGGGATTTCCGTTTCCATGGTCCATTAGTCCTATGGTCTAATTGTTTCCTTGTGTCTTTGATTTTCTTCACTTTTCTTTGATGCAGGTGGAGAGAAAACAAGAGTTGCATTGTAGATGGCCACTCGCAAGTTGTTAAGACCCGAGTGGCTACTCACCAAAGTAGGATATAGAACACTGTCTTTGTGGACTATTATGCCAGTTGACCTTGGTATCCCACAAGATTATGGTTCTGAGCCCCAAGGCCCAGTGCTCATTCCCTCAAGTATTTGGTTATGGCTAATAAGGTTTCATAACTTTTCCCCTGTATACTCTACGATATTCATGGATATATTTGCAGCGCATATAAATACATATATCTTTCCTGTTGTTTAAATCCCCTCATTTTATGGTAATTTGTTTCAGTAGCCCTGTTGTTGTTGTTGTCGTTATTTGCCGTCGAGTCAGCCCCGACTCATAGCGACCCCTCCTTGGGTTTCCGAGGCAGTATCACTACGGAAGTAGGAATGCCCAACCTTCCTTCCGAGGAGTGGCTGGTGGGTTTGAACCGCCAGGCTTCTGGTTAGCAGTCAAGTGCCTTAGCCACTATGCTACCAGAGCTCCTTCAGCAGCCCTAGGAAACTAAAATAGATGGAAAGGAGATAGATAGGAAAGGGAGAGGTAGGAAAGCATTCCAGATGGGAAGAAAAATGGCAAAAATAAATGCAGAAAAAGAAGAATGAGCAGGAATCTAGCAAGAGTTTTGTTTATTAAGTAATCTGGGTTATGTCTTCTAAATTGCATTTATAATAACAGGCTAAACTGTCACTTTGATTTTTTTCAAATCTTCTAAGATCTATAAGCATTTTTTTTTTTTTGCTGAAAAATAGCTGATGATTTAGCATTTTGTATATACATAGCTTTTTCCTACAAAACTAAATACACCATAATGTGCTTGCCATCCTTAAAATGTTATGCCCTATTACTGACCATTTTTGTTTGTGAAACTTCTGTTATAAGTGCTAGCTGCATATCTTCCACTCTCTATCAAGATAAGCAACACTTTTACAACTAATGTTATTTCTTGATATATAATCTAAAATAATTGGGCACATCATCAAGAAAGATGAATTACCAGAAATGGGCTGTAAGTTTGGTAAAGTAGAAGATAGCACAAAGGAGGAAAACCCTCAATGAAATGAACCAATACAATAGTATAAAAATGGGCTCAAAGATCATGGAGATGGCTCAAGATGACACATTTACTCCATTATACATTAAGGTGCATAAGGCAACTTGACAGCAACTAACAACAAAAATGACAGCAAAATCAAAAAAAAGAACTTGAAACATATTTCAAACCAATTTCCATGTTGCTTTCTAAACAAAGAGCTAATGATCTATAACAACATACAACATTAAGGACACTTCTAAATTTAATATTCAATTTGAAAATATGTATTCTAATTGTAACAATATATTTTAGATATAGAAAAATAAAAACATATCATGTTAAAATCAAAACAAAGTCCACTACCATCAAGTCAATTTCGACTCACAGCAACTCTACAGGACAGAGAATTCCCCCATAGGGTTTCCAAGGCTATCAGTCTTTATGGAAACAGATTGCCACACCTTTCTCCCAGAGTGGCTGGTGGGTTCGATCCACCAACCTTTTGGTTGGTAGCCAGATGCTTTAACCACTTCACCCCAGGGCTCCTACAGCAGGTTTAAGAGATAAAATATACAACTCAGCTTTGCTTATGATTATGAAGGGCAATATCAAATATATTTGGATAAATGTAACCTCTACTCTTGACCTTTTAAATACTTCTGGCTTCTTTTTATGCTTGGGTATATTGCTTTTGTAAATGGGAGAAAAAGTCATTTCACTGATCAACTTTATTTAAATGTTATCAAGAATTGCCATGTCTTTCAAGCCAACTGTTCTTAAGTGCACACTTACCCTGCATTGTTGCTGACTGCAGTTAGCCCCTTTACTCTCGTCTTTAGTAAAGCTCCTATAAGGTTCTCTGGAATTCCACATAGCCCAAAACCTGTAATAAGCCCAAAAGATAAATTATTTCTTTCAGGGAAATTTATTTGTTATCCTTTTTAATAGAAAATTTTAAAAAATATATAAAAAGCACATTATTAGATCTGTTAAGCATAATTCACAGATAATCTCAGCAACTCAATAAATGTTCACACAGTTATATCTAAAAGCCTTGCATAATTATACAGTACCAAACATCACTGTCAAGTCTTTGAGTCGTAAGTGTAAAGCCAACTGCAATCAGTTTATATGGCTACACATGACTCACCCAACACTCTAGTTAATTACATCCCAATCACTGTCCTACTTTATAATTCGACTTTTTCACAGTTACTTTCTCAAACATGTGTACTTTATATGCCTGAGTAGATTTTGCAGAACTGAACAGCTGGCTCACTATCTTTCTTTCATTTTATCTTCTTCAATTCCTCAAATAGGATGGTGTATGAAGTAAACATTTAATGGCATCATTTTGCACTAATGAATAGACAGCAGTCTGAAAAGAAGCCTTGATGTCTGTGACAAAGGCCTAGAAATCCAAAGAAATTTGTAAGAATCATGCAGCAAATTTAATGAGTATAAAAGGAAGACACAGAGAGGTGCACAATTGGTATAGACAAGAAAAATAAACAATTTTATCTACACAATATTGCATTATCAGTAGTAACAAACATTAATCTACAGGTGGATACATAGCTAGATAGGCTAAATGATCAGGTATATCTGGGCAAAAGGGAATATACCCATGACATATGTAAGTTTGGCAGATGGTTATTTCTACATACGTATTTGTATGTGCTATAAGAATGTCCATATACATAATAGAGCTAATGGGGCAATGTGACAATAACTTCTTAGCCATAGCCAACCACCCTAAGGGAGTGAGTTGTTGGACCTATGGGCTTGGGACCATGGTCTCAGGGTACATCAAGCTCAATTGGCATAACATACTACATAAAAACAATTTTCTATATCCTACTCCAACTCGACAGCATATAACAACAACAACAACACTTTGATAAGTAGCTACTGGGGTATTAAAAGCTTGCAAGCAGCTATCTAAGATGTAACAATTGGTTTCTCCTCATCTGGAGCAAAGAAGAATGAAGAAAACCCAAGACAGAAGGAAACAATTAGTCCAAAGAACTAGGAGACCATGTGAATCTCAGCCTACAGGACACTGAGACCAGAAGAACTAGATGGTGCCTGGCTACCACTGTCCCCCACTCGGAAAGGGATCAAAATAGGAGATGCTGGACAGAGTGGGAGAAAAATGTGGAACAAAACTCAAAACCATAAAAAAAAGACCAGGCCTACTCGCTTGATAGAGACTGATGAAACACCCAAGACTATGGCTCCTAGTCAGCTTTTGGGCCTGGAATTGAACTCACTCCTGTGGCTTCTAGCCAAACTATAGACAGGCATATAAGAGGAACATTTACACCAGGTACATGTACTCCTTAGAATGATCAACCATGGGAGATAAGAAAGGCAGTACTGGCACAGGGAGATAGCTCAGAGGGCAGGAATACATATGAAAGAACACAGGGAAATGGTAACAACAGGGTGGAAATAGGCAGAGAGCTGCTGCATTGTGCGGATTGTAGTCAATGTCATAAAACAAAATATGTATGAACTGTTGTATGGAAAGTGAATTTGTTCTGTAACTTTTACCCAAATAACAATTAAAAAAAAAAAAATTAATGAACATAAATCAGTGATTCCAAAAGGCATTCCAAACAAGAGGCAGACTTGGCAGGGTCCAACAACAGATAGAGGCTTACATATTCTGTCTTATAAAATAAGGAGTGAGTAGCTAGGGGTGGGCCTAGCAAGGAGCTCTGGTGGCATAGTGCCTAAGGCATTTGACTGCTAACTAGAAGGTTGGCAGTTCAAACCCACCAGCCACTCCACAGATGGAAGACTGGGCTACCTACTTCCATAAAGATGTACCAACTCGAAAACCCAAAGGGGGTTGCTATGAGTCAGAATCAACCCAGTGGCAATGAGTTTGTTTTGTTTTGTTTTTTAGGGGTCGCCCAACATGATCAATGAAAACATTTCAAGTTAAAGAGTATTCCCAAGGCTATAGTGACTGATAAGATATCACCACTGAGTTTTAAAACTTTTAAAATTTCATCTCTTCAAAATAATAGAAGAAAAAGAGTAAGGAAGTAAATATTACATGTGAAACTTTGCTAAACTTTAACAAAAGAGACAGTATGATAAAGTGGTTGCCGTTTTTGAACAGTCTTTTTAATCCACACAGCTTTGCCATATGGTTTCACTGATTCTCTAAAAACACAAGAATGTTACTATTAAGGAAACCAGTGCTGTCACTCACCACCAACCAGTATCGTTGCACCATCAGGGATGTCTTTTATAGCTTCCACTGGATCTGAATAAAATTTAGTATGACGACGAGTGCTGGTTGAAAAGTAGCAAACACATCCCTGAAACAATAAGAAAATACAAAACCATTTGGAGATACAGCTTTACTTTGCATGTGTAGCCATTTATTCATTATATACATATAATGAGTGGGGCTTTAAGTGGTTCCTCCTTAAGAATAAGCAGGACACACTATGCACAAATTATCATCAGAGGCCCCATGTGATTAATGTCTTTCACTATGAGAGACAGCTGTAACTGTGTCATCCATGGCCATCAAAAAAAGTCAAAGTAGGTAGCCTACACACTGGGACTCAACTCCACAATAACAGCATCATCAAGCATCTATTTCTGATAGTCATCTAACCTTCCATTTTATCAACACATTTACTGAGAACTTACTATGTGCCAAGTACTGTACCATTTACTTCAACACAGTAAGGACTAAGACATGACTGCTACCCTCAGAAAAATTTAGTACAGCACGATCAATGCTACAAATACTACCTATTCTCACCTAAGATGAGGGGTCAAAGAATGCCTCCTATAATGGATGAGAGTATATCCCCTAAAAACTGATGTTTAAATCCTAACCTCTATACCTGTAAATATGACCCTGTTTGGAAATAGGAATTTTCTTTTGTTATGAGATCACACCAGAATAGGGTGAGCCCTAAACCTAATTACTTCTGAATAGTGTCTTATAAAAAGAGCAGAATAGAAACAAAGACATACACAGGGGAAAGACAGATGTGAAGGAATACCAAGAAACTCCTGGAGCTACAATAAGGAAAGATTCTCCCCTACAGCCAGTGCCCTGAGTTAGACTTCTAGCCTCCAAAACTGTGACACAACACATTTCTGTTCTTTAAAGCCACCCACTTGTGGTGTTTTTGGGTTTTTTTGTTTGTTTTTGTTTTTTCACTTCATCAGCATGATGTAATTAAACACTTCCTAAAAGAATAAAGACTGAAACCTTTTGGGGCTTGAAGTTTATATTGTTTTTCTTAGATGCCATCCAGCTGTCTCTGACTGATAGTGACCCGGTGTACAACAGAACGAAACACTGCCTGGTTCTGCACCATCCTCACAATTCTTGCTATGCTTGAGCTCATCATTGCTGCCACTCTATCAATGCATCTCGTTGGGGGTCTTCACCATTTTCATTGACCCTAAACTTAACCAAGCATGTTGTTCTCCAGGGACTGAACCCTTCAGACAATATGACCAAAGTAAGTGAGACGACGTCTGGCCATTCTCACTTCAAAAAGTATCAGCTACACTTCATCCAGGGCAGATTTAATTATTCTTCTGGAAGTCCAGGGTATTTTCAGTGTTCTTTGCCAACATCACAATTCAAAGGCTTCGATTCTTCTTCAGTCTCCTTTATTCACTGTTCAGCTTTCACATGCAATAAGGCAACTGAAAATACCATGACTTGAGTTAGGTGCACATTAGTCTTCAAAGTGATATCTTTGTGTGGTTGTTACGTTTGTGTGTCAACTTGGCTGGGCCCAGTTGAGTGGCTGGGCAGCTGGATGTAGTATTCCCCATGATAAGACTGGTAATCAACTCCATGGTAGAATCTACTGTGAGTAGCTGAGGAGCTAACTTAGGGATGTGATCTGATTCCTATATGTAAGGAGAAGCCTTGGGAATGGTCTCCAGCCTTTTGGCGTACTTGTGCTCTGCATGTAGCCAAGTCATTGTTCAATAGCCTGCCATACCTTGCCAATCTTGGGACTTCATCTGGACTTGAATTAGTGGCCTGACATGTTGTTTGGTAACATTGGGACTGTGCCTTTTTTACTTGTCAACCTTGAGCTTGTCAGCCTCAGCAGCCAGCAGCTGTCTGAGTGAAGAAAAGCCTCCAGCTTCAGTGGGCGGGAAGCAGGAGGCAGAGTTAAAGCCCAAGGTTAAAGAGCTTTCACCCAGCCCCTAGAGCCAGGCACCCTGAACTTGGACTTAAAGCCTTCAAACTAAGAGAATAAACTCCTGTTTGTTAAAGCCATACCATTTGTGGTATATTCCTGTCAGAGAGGCCTGAGGTAACTGAAACACTTTGCTTCTTAACACTTTAAAGAGGTGTTTTGCAGCAGATCTGCCCAATGCAATATGAAATCAAATTTCTTGACCTCTGCTTCCACAGCCGTTGATTGTGGATCCAAGTAAAATGAAATACCTGACAACCTCAATCTTGTCTCCATTTATCATGATGTTGTTTATTGGTCCTAACTCACTGCCATTGAGCTGGATCCAACACATAGTGACCCTTCCTTGGGTTTTCGAGGCAGTATCACCATGCAAGTAGATTGCTCAATCTTCCTTCTGAGGAGTGGCTGGTGGGTTTGAACTGCCAGCCTTCTGGTTAGCAGTCAAGTGCCTTAGGCACTGTGCCACCAGAGCTCCTTTTATTAGTCCAGTGAGGATTTTTATTTGTTGAGGTGTAATCCATACTGAAGACTGTAGTCTTTGAGCTTCATCAGTAAGTGCTTCAAATCTTCTACACTTTCAGCAAGAAAAGTTGTAACATCTGCATACTGCAGGTTGTTAATGAGTCTTCCCCCAATTTTGATACTATATTCTTCTTCATATAGTCTACCTTCTAGGATTATTTGTTCAGCATATGGATTGAATAAGTACAGTGAAAGGATACAATCATTCCTGATTTTAAACCACACAGTATTCCCTTGTTCTGTTCAAATGACAGCCTCTTGGTCTATATACAGGTTATTCATAAGCATAATTAAGTGTTCTGGAATTCCCATTCTTCACAATGTTATCCATAATTTGTTATGATCCACACAGTCAAATGCCTTTGCACAGTCAATAAAACACAGGTAAACATCTTTCTAGTATTCTTAGTTTCAGCCAAGGTTCATCTTGTTATCAACAATGATATCCCTCATTCCATGTCCTCTTCTGAATCCTGCTTGAATTTCTGGAAGTTCCTGTCAATATACGGCTACAACCATTTTTGTATTATCTTCAGCAAAATTTTACTTGCATGTGATACTAATGATAGTGTTTGATAATTTCCACATTCTGCTACATCATCTTTCTTTGCAATGGGCACAAATATTGATCCTTTCCAGTCAGTTGGCCAGGTAGCCGTCTTCCAAATTTCTTGGCATAAACAAATAAGCACCTCCAGTGCCTCAAACATTTGTTGAAATATCTCAGTGGGTAATCTGTCAATTCCTGGAGCCTTGTTTTCAGTCAATTCCTTCAGTGAAGCTTGGATTTCTTCCTTCAGTATTTTTGGTTCTTGATCAGATGCTACCTCCTGAAACAGCTGAATGTCGACCAATTCTTTTTAATACAGTGACTGTGTATTCCTTCCATCTTCTTTTGATGTTTCTTGCATCATTCGATATTTTGCCTATTGAATCATTCAATATTGCTACTCAAGGCTTGAATTTTTCTTCAGTTTTTAGCTTGAGAAATGCTGAGCATGTTCTTCCCTTTCTGTTCTCTAACTCCAAGTCTTTGTACATTTCATTATAATACTTTACTTTTTATAGTACTTTACTTTGTCTTCTTGAGCTGCCCTTTGAAATCTGTTCAGGTCTTTTATTTCATCATTTCTTCCATTTGCTTTAGCTATTCTCCATTCAACAGCAAGTTTCAGAGTCTATTCTAACATATATTTTGGTCTTTTCTTCCTTTCCTGTCTTTTTAATGACCTTTGTCTTTCTTCATGTATGATGTTCTTGATATCATCCCATAACTTGTCAGTCATTGGTGTTCAGGGTATCAAATCTATTATTCAGATGGTCTCTAACTTCAGGTGGGATACAATCAAGGTAATATTTTGGCTCTCATGGACTTGTTTTAATTTTCTTCTGCTTCAGCTATAAGCAATCCACAGTCAGCTCCTGGCCTTGCTTTGGCCAAAGATATTGAGCTTCTACATCGCCTCTTTCCACAGATGTAATTGATTTGATTCTTGTGTATTCCATCTGGTGAGGTCCATGTGTATAGCCGCTGTTTATGTTGTTGAAAAAAGGTATTTGCAATGAGCAAGTCATTGGTCTTGCAAAATTATATCATGCAATCTCCGGCATCATATCTACCATAAAGGCCATATTTTCCAACTACCAATGCTCCCTCTTTGTTTGTGAAGTCTATGGATGAAGTTAAAAAAAAAAAAAAAAAAGTGGCAAATTATTATCTGTAAGAGAGAGGTGTCTAATCTTACCACAATACACTGTTTAGTACAAAACAGTTTATCTAGTGAGCATTCCAGGAGACCTGGTGGTGTAGTGGTTAAGGCATTTGGCTGCTAACACCAAAAGGTTGATGGTTCAAACACACCAGCTTCTTTATGGGAGAAAGATGAGGCAATCTTTTTCCATAAAGATTTACAGCCTTGAAAACCCTACAGGAGTCACTGCGAGTTGGAAATGATTCAATAACATTGAGTTTGGTGTTTTGGGTTGTAAAAGGCTGCAGCCACAGTGGGGGCCCTAACTCCATTTTGAGTCTTCAAGTAAGTTCAGATGCCATTGAGTTCTTTCTGACTCTTAAACCAACATTGTGGCCATCCATAGACAAGTGCCAAGACAAACCTAGGGAGGTGCAATTTACCCAAAGGAAGAATGTGGTTGAAAGTAGATTATGCTTATACAAAGAACTCGCTTGAGTGTGTCCCTTTTCTAATTTAAATTAAGGTTGGGGTCCTGGTATCCTTTTGTAGCCACCTTGTGGCTGCGACTCCGGCCACATGGTCATAAGTCATGGCTGGACTACCACCTTGCCAGGTAGTGAACCCACAGAACCAATCCTGGAACCCTTTTTAATCTTCAGTTATATACATATCCCAATCATGATCATGTCCCTGTTTCTGTAGTCTCGCCTGTGACAGTGATGAATCATCTGCCACCAGTCATGATTTTTTGATGATTCCCTTTGTTTTCAATCATATATAATTAGACCCATGGCCTTGACTCTGCAAATCCCATTCTGCTTTCTGCACTGCATACATGGTAATGGCTTCCATCATCTTGGATGACTGTCTTTGTTTTGTCTTTGTCCTGTCTAAGGCTTAATAAAAAGTGTC